AGAGGCCATATGGGGGTCAGAGGTCATATGGGGTCGCCAGCCCAATAGGGGACATCAGCCCTATAGGGGTCAGAGGCCATATGGGGTCATCGGCCCTATTGGGGTCACAGGGCATGTGGGGTCACAGGTCATATGGGGGTCAGAGGTCATATGGGGGTCAGCTGTCATATGGGGTCACAGGGCATGTGGGATCATGGGGCATGTGGGGTCAGAGGGCATGTGGGGTCACGGGGCACTTGGGGTTATGGGGCATGTGGGGTCACAGGGCATGTGGGGTCATCGGGCGTATGGGGTCCCTACGGTGCCCCTGTCCTTATGGTGTCCCTGTCCCTACGGTGCCCCTGTCCCTATAAGGGTCCCTATGGTGTCCCTATGGTGTCCCTGTCCCTATGGGGGTCCCTATCCCTATGGTGTCCCTACGATGCCCCTGTCCCTATTAGAGTCCCTATGGTGTCCCTATGGTGTCCCTATGGTGTCCCTGTCCCTATTAGAGTCCCTCTGGTGTCCCTCTGGTGTCCCTGTCCCTATGGGGGTCCCTGTCCCTAACGGTGTTCCTATGTGGGTCCCTATGGGGTCCCTGTCCCTGTGGTGCCCCTGTCCCTATGGTGTCCTTGTGGTGTCCCTATGGGGTCCCTGTCCCTATGGGATCCACGACTCTATGGGTTCCCTATGGTGTCCCTGTGGGTCCCTCTGGTGTCCCTGTCCCTATGGTGTCCCTATGATGCCCCTGTCCCTGTAGGGATCCCTATCCCTATGGTGTCCCTCTGGTGTCCCTATGGTGCCCCTGTCCCTGTAGGGGTCCCTATCCCTATGGTGTCCCTCTGGTGTCCCTATGGTGCCCCTGTCCCTATGATGCTCCCGTCCCTATGAGATCCCTATGGTGCCCCTGTCCCTACGGCACCCCCGTCCCTCTGGTGTCCCTCTGGTGTCCCTCTGGTGTCCCTATGGGGTCCCTATGGGGTCCCTATGGTGTCCCTGTCCCTATGGTGTCCCTCTGGTGCCCCTCTGGTGCCCCTACGGTGCCCCTGTCCCTATTAGAGTCCCTATGGGGTCCCTATGTTCTCCCCGTCCCTACGGAGCCCCTGTCCCTCTGGTGTCCCTCTGGTGTCCCTCTGGTGTCCCTCTGGTGTCCCTATGGTGTCCCTATGGTGCCCCTGTCCCTACGGTGCCCCTGTCCCTATAAGGGTCCCTATGGTGTCCCTATGGTGGCCCTGTCCCTATGGTGCCCCTGTCCCTAAGAATGCCCCTGTCCCTATGAGATCCCTATGGTGTCCCTGTCCCTACGAAGCCGCTGTCCCTATGGTGTCCCTCTGGTGTCCCTATGGTGTCCCTGCCCCTATGGTGTCCCTATGGTGTCCCTATGGTGTCCCTCTGGTGTCCCTATGGTGTCTCTGTGCCTATGGTGTCCCTCTGGTGTCCCTCTGGTGTCCCTCTGGTGTCCCTATGGTGTCCCTACGGTGCCTCTGTCCCTATAAGGGTCCCTCTGGTGTCCCTCTGGTCCCCCTGTCCCTATGATGCCCCCGTCCCTGTGGGGTCCCCATCCCTCTGGGTCCCTCTGGTGTCCCTGTCCCTATGGTGCCCCTGTCCCTCTGGTGTCCCTATGGTGTCCCTATGGTGTCCCTATGGTGCCCCTGTCCCTATAAGGGTCCCTCTGGTGTCCCTATGATGTCCCTGTTCCTCTGGTCCCCCTGTCCCTATGGTGCCCCTGTCCCTGTAAGGGTCCCTGTGGTGTCCCTCTGGTGTCCCTCTGGTGTCCCTATGGTGTCCCTATGGTGCCCCTGTCCCTATAAGGGTCCCTATGGTGTCCCTCTGGTCCCCCTGTCCCTATGATGCCCCCGTCCCTGTGTGGTCCCCGTCCTTCTGGTGTCCCTCCGGCTCCCCCATCCCTGTGGGGTCCCCGTCCCTCTGGGTCCCTCTGGTGCCCCTGTCCCTATGGTATCCCTATGGTGCCCCTACGGTGCCCCTGTCCCTATTAGAGTCCTTATGGTGTCCCTGTCCCTCTGGTGTCCCTCTGGTGTCCCCATCCCTCTGGTTTCCCTATGGTGTCCCTGTCCCTATGGGGGTCCCTGTCCCTAACGGTGTCCCTATGGTGTCCCTCTGGTCCCCCTGTCCCTAT